AGATAAGCATTTTAGGACTATGAATGATGTTGAAATCAAGAATGAGACAAGGAAACACTGACGACAGACTGAATTTAAGGAAGTATTCATAATGACAATGAGAGGTAATTCATACTAATTGGAGGCACTAAATGGGTAAACATTGGACTGTACACTGCAAGTTCAAACCCACCAGCAGGCACTAAATAGGTAAACGTTGGACTGTACACTGCAAGTTCAAACCCACCAGCAGTTCAAACCCACCAGCCCCTCCATGGGAGAAAGGGGAGACTTTCAGCTCCCGTAACGATATGCAAGCTCTCAAATTTATTTGGCAGACTGGCCCCTTTTCAGAAAAAAATTACTTAGTACCCCCTTGGTAATTAAAAATTTTGTACTCCAGCCCATAATTTAGGATAAAGTATAGGTATTTGCCTTTGTAATACCCCTGGATCGTTCAAACACGCCTCAGAAGGGCTGGGTTGTGCTTTTGGCGAAGCACTGATTACAGTCTTGGAAACCCTTTATAAGGTTATTATGAGTCAGAACTGACTCTGAAATACTGGGTTGGTTTAGGTCAATTAACTATAATACACACAGACACAGACACATGGAGAAGAAATGAATTAAACGTCACTGGCTGAAAATATTTTTGAGGAAGAAAATATAAATTCTGGGATAACACAGAATAATGGATTAAAGGATCCAACATTGTGAAATTCTGTAGTGATTTATTTCAATTAATAATATTCAATTGTATATATGTATAGGGGAAAATGAATCTGAACCTCTTCTGCACATTATAAATGAAATTAAGACCCAAAGAATAAAAGATCTATATTTGAAAGGAAAAAATATATCATTTCTAGATCATAGCATAAGAGAATTTTCTTAATAACCTTGGGACAAAGAGTAATCAACTATCACACAAGATCCTTAACTTTAAAGGAACAAATTGATGAACTAGGCTTAATTCAAAACTAGAAATATATTCAAATGGATTGTACTAATGATTGCACAACTCTTTTTAATATGTTTAAGCTATTGAACTACATGATATGTGCATTACATATCAATAAAACTGTGAACATTTTTAAATTAGAAGCATACACACAGCATCAAGACTTAGGAAATAACAGCACTCCGTCCTACAGGTTCCCTAAGAGTTAGAACTGACTGGATGCCAGTGAGTGGGTTATAGCCTTAAGGATCCCTGACAGCAAGGTATGGTAGTTAAGACCTCAGTTTTAAGCAGAAAGCCAGTGGTTCAAACCTACCAGCTGCTTCATACCTAACACAGGGAAAAGGCAAAGCAGTAGGCTTCTTTCAAGATTAGGAAACCCGATGAGGCAGTTCTACTCTGTCTTTTAGGGTCACTGCGAGCCCGAATTTACTTGAAGGCCATAGATTTGTCTATACATGTTTATGTGTTGCGTATGTGCACGCCGAGATATCTATATTCAGAACATATTCCTATTCTGAATATATAAAGACCTTTTATGACTAGACTGCCTACAGCTCACTAAAAAAATAGACAGCTTGATTCACCAAATAGGCAAAAAACTTGACCACAGATACACACATATGTAAATGGTATAAAAATCTGATGAAATAGGCATTTAGGACAATACCATTGCAATTATTTTGTTCACATTTTCCTCATTTAACTCTTCAAAGGAGGGTCTATTTACTTTTGAGGTAGAAATGTCTGTTCTGAAGTAACCTGTGTTATCTAGGGCTGTGAGGCTTCATCACAATTATGTCCATTGGCACTCCATTCCAAGTGGAGGTTTGTGGAATGGAAGTGAAATAAAATGAGCACAGGAATAAACCAGACCCTGATGGGCTCAGTGCAGCCTCTACCACTTGTTGAAAGGTGATTTCAGGTAAGATATGTAACCTTTCTAAGTCTTATTTTTCTCATGTAAAATAATGGGTCAAAACTAGTTCTGAGGATTGAGAAAGTAAATATATCAGGGAGGTTCAAAATGTTCACAGATGAAAAAACAACGGGATTTTCCCATATGCTTATAAAGCCTGCCCTCTCCCCCAGCGCCCGCCAATGTACCTGGCACAGAATGAGCTGGTTGGAAGCCTCCTCTTAGAAGTGCCTAGCAAAGACTCTCTTCTGCCACGCTTTTGATGCAGAGATATGTAGACACGTGGGAGGCATTTTACTGAAACTAGAGATGTTCTCTCCTTTAGTTATTCAGATGATTCATGCCACCGAAAGTCATCATTTCTACCTTTGTCTATTTTTTAATAAAATATTGTTTACTTTTCATAGTAAAAAGAAAAAAAGCTCTTATGAAATTGTCATCCATTGTTGCAGCTACTCGCCCCATGTCTGTCTGCACATCAGACCCAGGTTAAATAGAATATATAAGCTATCTTAAAGAATCCTGCTTCAAGAGATGATGAAGAGGGACAAAAGTAATGTAAACCATGGGACTTCTACCTGCTGAGAATTTGTAACCAATCCCCAAACCACTCACCGCCATCAAGCCACTTCTGACTCAGTGACCCTGCACATGGGGTTTTCGGAGCTTTGTAAACCTTTATGAGAGCAGCATGTGTCACCTAATGGTGCTCCTGTGATTGGCTTTTAGGTTTGAACCTCTGACCTTTGGCTTAGCAGCCCAACGCATTCCACAGCCCACCAGAGCTCTTTAATCTACCTCAGATATACACAATTAGAATCTGCATTTTAACAGCTTCGTCAAGTGATCCACTAAATCTGACTCTATTTTTAGCAAGATCCCAAGTTAATACTTATACATGCTTAAGAATCAGCTGGGGAGCTTGTTAAACTCTAGATTCTGATTCAGTAGATCTGGGGTGAAATACCAAAGTCTCATAAGCAGCCAGACTTGAACAAGGTGGTTTGAAGCTCAAGTACAACCTTCTAGAGCAGTGGTTCTCAACTTTCCTAATGCCGGGACCCTTTTATACAGTTCCTCATGTTGTGGTGACCCTCCAACCACAAAATTATTTGCGTTGCTACTTCGTGACTGTCCTTTTGCTACTGTTCTGAATCATAATGTAAATATCTGGGAGGCAGGATGTATTTTCATTGTTACAAATTGAACATAATTAAAGCATCGTGATGAATCACAAAATAATATGTAATTCTATATTGTGAAATATCTATTTCTAATGACAAATAAATGAAAATTTGTCTTGAAGCACGGTGTAGCATGGGTAACAACAGTCTTTGCGCCGGTACTCATATGTGGGTGTATCTGCATGTGGGCAGACCCGCCTGGAGACAGATACAGGAGCGGTGTCTCGGTTCCTAAGACCATCAGAAATATATGTTTTCCAATGGTCTTAGGTGACCCCTGTGAAAGGGTCATTCAACCCCCCCCAAAGGGGTCATGACCCACAGATTGAGAACCGCTGTTCTAGATTGTCCATAGTAGATAGGGAAACTATTTTCAAAGAATTATATTGATAAGAGTTCCCTAGAAGAGATCAGAATTAAGCAAGTCGTAAATTTAACTCTGGCTTATGAGAAAATACAATCTGAAAGAAACCACTAAACCACTAATATTGGGTTTAATGGTTCTCAGCCTGAGCAAGGCCATTCTGCAGTCCACATCTGTACAATAGTCTGCAAAGCAAATTTCCTGCCTACATTTTCACTGGGAAATTGTAAGTCATCTTTCAAAATTTACATATTGATTTAATTTTTTTAAAATGTTTATGAGAGCTCCAATATGCATGATGCCTAGGGATTATGGTACTAGAGAAAAGATTAAATATATCATGGACTGCCAGGAGAATAACTACCTGTCTGAGAAGAAGTACAGCCAGAATGCTCCTTCGAAGCAAGGATGACTTTTTTTTTCTCTGACATACTTGAGGTATGACATCAGGAGGGATCAGACTCTTTAAATAGACATCATGCTTGGTAAAGAGTCCATGAAAACGAAGAAGGTCTTCAGTGACACTGATTGACACCGTGGTTACGACAATGGGCTCAAACATAGAAACATTTTGTGAAAACTGAGCAGGCTGAGCGGTGTTTTGTTCTCTGCGAGACATGGGGTTGCTTCAAAGAGGAACCCGCTTGGCGGCATGGGACCTCATAACGACAGATGTGCGTGAGTAATGACTAGGCACCAAAGTCACGTGACACTGGCCAAGGACCTTATCCTTACGGTACTCAAACTTCACACCAAACTTCGTTCCAAGCTTGCCTGGACACCTACTTTAGTTTTTCCTGTTTCTGTACTCAGAATTCCAGGTGCAAACCTGAAGGCATTACAGAGCAATCTCATTGTTTATATGGTGGTTTCTCTAGCCTGCTTCTCTAAGAGGAAAGACTAAATCTATTCATATTTTCCAAACCAGAGAATAGTTTTTTCCTTCTATGTTATTAGTAGTCATAGCAGCTGTTTTACAAATGTTCACAAAGCTAATATCAGAGGGTTTTAATGAGATGCATAATATAAATATAGGGGAAATGATTGCCAGTTTGTCTTTTTTCCAGTTTAAATTCATAAGAATTGTGGGGAGAGGGAATGTCATAAGGTACCATTTAAATGGAAATAGCTATGCATAAGACTTAATATACCTGGGGATTTGTTAAGTTTCAATTATAATTGACAATATTCATCCAGAAATGGAAAGGATACAAAATATTCATGGAGTCTGACTTCACAACAAAAGAGTCTATACATGCTCCAAATAGGTGTAAAATTGCTTATTTTAAAACACTTTGGGTCTAAAAGCTTCCTCAAGTTTTTAAAAGTATGCTGAACTGCCCATTAAAAACCGGAAAGAGGAAAAACAATAACAACCAAACAAAAACTTCTCAGGTCCTGTGCTAACAAAAGGACATTAAAGTCTATCTTCAAGTAGCTCTAAGTAGACCATGGAGGCCTATTCAATATGAAAACCAAGGGAATTTTGGAGATAAAGAGGAAGGGCTTCCATCTATTTATTGTGCAATATGTAAAATGTTTAGCCTTCATTCATCTTGCTAAAAATTTACACGCAAAAAAACTGATACCTACTTGGTCTGATGTTTCGATCCTTTCAGATGAGCATGATACTGTTCTATTGAGTTTAGGGAGACACTGCAGATGGTACATCTGTAATTGCGCCTCAGACCTGTGGACAGCAGAAGACAAACCAGGTCAGCAGTATCCAGCCTTCATCCACCTGCATCTCTGTTAGAATCGCTAGAGGTTCAAGGACAGAGTGTCATAGGAGCCATCTGGTCTACCCATCTCTCCTTCCAAAACCCAGATCCTTAAGCAAAAGTATACATATGGATATGTTAAAAGTCATTTGCTTCATTTCTGGATGGCTGAAATTATTAGAACATAAATCATTAAATTGATTTAGAAGTTCCTGAACATAACTCAAACAACAGGCATGATAGTCCCCTGGCCCCCCAAGGCTTATAGGAAGAGTAGGCTGTCATTATTGTAATGATTGTTAAGAGACTGCAGAGATCCCCCCCCCCCAATCCAATCCCATTCCCCCTCTATTTTAGTGAAAAATCAGAAATTCAACTTTCAACATCATTCATTTGGGTTCTTTTTCCAGCGTAATATTACAATTGTAAATACCCTGGAGAATAGTACATTGATCTAATTCACACGAAGCCTAACTTCCCAAGAGAAAGCATAAAAGAAAACACATTCATTCATTTCTTTATTCATTTAAGTCATAGAATATTGACTTTGAGACAGGCACTAGAAGTTCCAAGATAAACATGATGCTCTTTGCTTTCAAGTAAAAATCTTGACTATTTTATAATACTGATTCATCTAGAGCCACCTGCAGCACACATCTATCAGTGTGTTACTGTGTTGTACTGCAGTGGCTTGTGGGTTACTGTGTTCCTAGAAGCTAAGTCACCATTATTTCAAATACCAGCAGAGTCACCCAAGGTGAGCAGGCTCTAGCTGAGCTTCCAGACCAAAACAGACTCGGAGGAAGGTTCTGATGGCCTCGTTCTGAAAAACGGCCAGTAGAAATCTCCTGCATAGCAGCAGACGGTTGACTGATACACTTCCAGCAGGTGAGCTCCTGCGGGTGAAAGTTACTCAAATCACATGACAGAAGCGCTGCCTCCTCAAAGTAGAGTGGACCTTCAGGATGTGGATTAATTAATACATTTGGAGTCTTTATTTGCCAAGGTGGGATTATGCAAAATGAGGAGAAGAAACAGGTGAAAAAATCTATTAATATTCAGAAAATGGAATATGAAAAGTATGGATGGAGGAAAACGGGAAGTCAACAAATAATGAATTGGAATGTATAAAAATCAATATCATAGATATTAGTGAGCTAAATTTTAAATAATCATGTGGCCTACCATTATGGGAAATTAACAATGAGGGAAATATGACCAGAACTATATTCCCTAACTTATAACAGAGGGAATCTGGAAAGCTAGTATTCCACGGGAGGAAAGACACCACTTTGGTAAGTTAGAGATAAAGTCCAAGCACATTATCCTATTTAAACATCATTCTCACAGATTCTCCCCTAACAGCTATGCTGCCTTAAAATAAGCACATGGTTGATTATATCTCCCTGTAGAAGCAGATATTATTTCATTATCTCCTCTTGCCGCGGGACCCAGCCCCCCTCATCCCTTCCCCCAATGCAGGCTTTAGGTTTCCTCACCTGTGAGTTTAGGGGCTTTACTGTGGGTACCTCCCACTTTGTGACGTATATAACTACTGAATATGCATGTCTTATGGCTACCTACAAATATCCCCAAAGAATAAAGACTTGCTCTCTTCTCCCACCTTCACGTGGACCACCAAGAGGGGCTGAGGTGAGCAATGCTACCATGAAATGTGTCTGACTCCTACATTTTACTCTCTCTCCTGTTCTCTCTGACTTTACTGTGATCTTTATATATGATAACCATACAATTGGGCCTATGGATTGCTCAGTTGTTAGAGGCTGGTTTCCTCTAACATACCATGATAGGGAATAACTAATCGAAGAGGAATGACATCACCTTCATTGTCAAAAAGAAATTATCAAGGTCTAGCCTCAAAAACAATACTGTTTGTGTTGTGATAATATCCTTATGACCATATAGGAAGACAGGTTTGTAAATGACACATTAAGATTTGTAAATGACACATTAATGCCAAGTAGAAAGAAATTGAATATGTCTACCAACTTCTTAAGTCTGAAATTGATTACATATGCAAGCAAGATGCATTGATAATTACTGATGATTGAAATGTGAAAAGTTGGTAGCTGGAAAATATGGTATTTGTGACAGATTCCAGAAGAATGAAAAACTTGGTGTTGAACGATGTGTAGCTTAGAACACTCCTTAGCCATGTCAGAGTTTGTCTTACTCCTTAGACTTTCATTAGAATGAACCAATTCCTGGAGAAAGAACTCATTATTGGTAAAATAGATTGTCAGTGGGAAGAACACCCCTCAAGTAAATGGATCAACACAGTGGCTCTCACAGTGGGTTCAAGCACACCAATGATTGTGAAGAGGGTGTGTGACTAAGCAGTGCTTTCATCTGTTGTGCATAGGGCAGCTATGAATCTGAAGCGACTCAATAAAGCCTGAGCTCCACAACAGAGCCAAGCCTTTGTTAGAAAGCAGCTGTAACTGAGCAACTTTATATATCTGCCACAGTCTTTTCATCTAGTCCAACTCTCTTCTGAGCCTATAAGGCAAGTACAACTGTCCCCAAGGCTTCGAATCTTTGCTGGCCCAGAAACCAATATCCTTCTCCATCAAACAGCTGGTGGGTTTACACCACCAGCCTTGTGGTTAGCAGCCTAATGTTTAACCCACAAGCAACCAGGGTTCCTTTTGAAAAAACAGTAAACTCAAAGTCACAATCAGAAACTTTGGCGCTAGACCATGGCTCCAACCTTTCATGGCTTTGAGATCTAGGAAAAGCCACACAGCATCTGATCCCAGTTTTCTTGTCTATAAAATGCAAACAAGACAATTCCTATTAATATTGTAGGAAAATTGAGAGAATGTGTTAAAATGTTTAGAAAGTGAAATCGTATTTAGTGTTGTCACAAAATGTTGTTTGGTCATTCTAAAAGCTAGTTCATAAGACAGCTTAATGAATGCACAGCATTATCTTAAAAAGAAAACTCAGTTAGAAGGGTCTTTAAGCTGGATACATTATTTACTTGGTACAAATTATGTGGTTTTTTTTCACGTGTTTCCTTATAGGGTTATAGATGTGAATGTGTGAGCTCAAATGTGTGTGAGACAACGCCTGGCATGAAAAAATGATCAGTATAAGTTAGTTATTATTGTTTTCAAAGAGATATCAAAATGGAACCCTTTATAACTCAATGCCCAAGTTTCAAGTGATATTCAAACTTCACCCATTTTATGAAAGTGAGATGTGGGAGTGGCAGTTCAGGACAGTCAAATGGAGCCGTTTTCAATCCCAAACCGACCTGGCCACTCACCACCAGGCTGGTGAAACAGGAGACATGATGGAGGATTCAGAAAAGAATGATATTGTGCTGAGTTATATTTTTCTGCTCCATTTCCCATGAACTAGTGTTTCTCGCTACCTAAAATCTACAGGAAAGGGATTCAATGGAACTATCTAGAAAGACTGAGGAGTACTCTACTAGACTGAGAAATACACTCTGGCGCCACCTGCAGTGTCTAGCAGACCAGAGACTTCAGATGATTAGTGTTTGCAAAGGCAAAAGTGGGAGGCAGAATTAAGCATGCCTGTATTTTCAGAGTTTGATAAAGAGGAGATATATGAATGACTCCAGGGCACTATGTAGACAAGAGGTGGATGAGAGGAACACGATTCGGTGATGTCGTTCTTAGAAATAACCAAAGTGACCAATGAGACACGGGAGCAATGAGACCTTAGCAGAGATATGCTGGAAATGTTCAACTGGATATTTAAGGCTCAGAGTGACCCCAGGGAAGATATTTGGATTATATGAAGTCATGGCAAGTCTGTGAAAAACAAACCAACCAACCACATAAAACGTTAGCTTGCAACTTCTGCCCAGTCAGATAGCATCTATATTCTGCATCATATCTGCCAGGTAAACTTCCCTCCATTTACCTCTTTAACCTGCTGCCCTAGACTGACTCCTCAGTCCTCAAGGAAACGGAGGCAACCTCTGAAGGTAGGCGAAGAAAAGCAAAAGCCTCCAACAGCGAGAAGCCTTCCACACTCTCTTTCCCAAGGCAACTAGGTAATGCAAGAACACGGAGCTGGTGGAGGGGAAACATTGCCTTTAATCAAGTTTGAAGAGCTTAAAAGTGACTGCTCTATCCTGGACCCATTAATTAATAAAACGATACAACATTTTAAAGTCTAGCCCAGACCAAAGAACTCTTTATTACTTAAAAATGATGGGGAATTCATGACATTTATCCTAGGTTTTATTCAGGGGGAAGAGTGAGATTGTGTGAACGGGCTATGGAGGAGAAGCATAAAGATATTTTTTCCATTAAATCCAGTAAGTTCTGCGTACTGAATGCTATCGTGTCATCAAAGGTAATCTCACTTCCAAAAGCAAGAGCAGGTTTCCGGAGCAGTTCAAATTCTTGTGGTCCATGTACCTTGCAGAGAAAGCTATTGGAAATATCAGGCAACAAACCAGGGTTGGCCAGTGTGAGAACTGCCTTTTAAAGTTTTCACTTCCTTGGTGTAAAAATATAAATAACTTGGTTTGTGCAGATTCGGTGTGTGTGTGTGTGTGTGTGTGTTTTAAGTGACATTTGGTGACATCAATCAGGAAGCTGTACTTGCTTCTTCTTTACATGCAAGATTGGCCACTGCCTTACTGATTGGCCAATGAAGAGTCAGTTTAGTTATGAGGAAAAAACACTAACGTCATAGACATCTGATGTCTTCTTGAGAGAGAATCTCTGGGACTCACGATTACTTTGCAGGGACAAACTGACAGCACAGAAATGAAATGCACACCTGCTGGTTCCGTAGTCCCTGGAGCAATGGCTCTCAAACATCCCCATGGAGGCGTCCACTAGCAAACCACTGGGAACTAGATTCCCAGGCACTCTGCCTGGAGACGTGTGTGAACTCCACCCCGACGTACACATACACTTACTAACAAACAAAACATCGGCCCATGAATTCGTATTCCTTT